GTCCTCATCTGGTGAGAACGACAAACGAATCTCTTCATCATGTACTTTCATTCGAAATGACGGTCCCCCTAACAATGTTATCTCAGGAGATTCATCGAAACCAAGTTTCTCTTCGTATCTAAAAAGCCAGTAAAGCCAATCGACAGCAGGTCAAAAGGAATCCGGCGTCGTCTTCTGGTGGAACCGACCTTCGAATCTATTCACCCAACACTTCCACTCGAAATGGAAGTAAGCTTAACAATTATAAAACAGAGATTCCTCGAAACCCAACTTTTCTTTGTAAATATAACAGCTAGTCGAATAGAGAATACAAGTCGCCACATGAGTGGATTAAATAAATTACACTATTTTCCACAGTATGAAGTAGTCTTTTTTATGGCGTCTGCAGTAGCTCCATATTGTTTCTTCCTTTCTGTTGCCACTTTCAGTCGTCCCTTCAACTCTAACTCTGAATCAAATTCGCTGGGAACCAGGTAAATCATCAACAACTGCAAATGAGTCCGAATCTTCTGCACCGTCAATTCGGCCCTTTGAAGTGTTACAGTCAGTAACATTGCACATTCCACCTCAAGCTTCCAGTTCTCGCGGCTCCAGTGGTTGGGCTTTGCCGGAGCTTGACTCCCGCCAGCCTGGTCGGTCCATGCCGAGTGGGCACAGCTCGACGTGGACAGCCAGGCTGGCGCGCAACTCGACCAGTTCCGAGATTGCGGCAGACGCCCCGGCCACTGTGCCCGGCCCAGCAACGGGACTCGAGCCGAGGGTGGTTGGTGCCTCGCCGACCGCAAACACACAAATGATGGTGGGGCTGGAGGCGACGCACGAGGCCTCCTCAGGGCTGGCGTCGCCGGCGATCGGCGTCACCAGGCCCAGTCATGCGAGACCGCCGGAGACGACACGGACCAGTGAACCCATGCAATTGTGGGCCCGTGACGGAGGCAGACTGATCACCGAGTGTGCCACCTCTTCGGCGAAACCGGCACCGCGGATCTTGTGGTACCTTGACGGAAGACGACTGACAGGCCGGTCGAATCAACTGGCGCCTGGAGATTCCGGCTTTCCGGCCGCCAGAGACTTGCGGGTTCGAACTCACCTCGCCGGTCGAGCGGAAGAGCAGATCTCGGCCGACGGCGAAAAAGGCAAGCTCAAGTCAAACGAAAGCAGAGGCGCGAAGGAGTTGCGTCGTGAAGTGATCTGGGATCCGGCAGGAAAGTACGTCATTGAATCGAGGGAGCAGGCCGTGGCTGGGCAATTGGAGAGCGAACTTCAAGCCTTAGACGCCGAGGAGCAAGACAAGCTGATGTAAGTTTTTAACCTCATACCAATTAGAGTAAATAGGTTTTTGCATGCTTCTCACTTTTAAGGGACGCTGGCAGCAAGACTTGCTTCAATAAACTATAACTCTTAAACCAGCCGTCAAGATAATAAATTAAGAATATTCTGTGTGATAAGCGTACAATTTTGTTGTGAATCATTCATATCTTCAATAAATAATAGTTACATATGGAAAGTGCACATTCCTTTTCCAGTAGTATGTGGAAAATATGAGTAGTACTTGAACAAGAGCAGTATTCAAACTCAGGTCAATGAAGGTGATGAAATATATGTAATGGACTAATATGCATACTTTATTATAAATTGGAAAATGAGATAATGATTATAACACAGCCTCTAACTAGCTAAAATTCGTTGCCCGGTTCTATTATTGCAGTTGTATTCGAATTTCCCCTCTTGCGCATACGAGGACTATTTCTAGCCTACCCAATTAACTATAGGAAATAAGAAATTTGGATAAACAATGCCTTGTAAATACAATTTTGTACTTAATTGAGTTGTGATATGTACAGAGTAAGAGCATAACCAGGTTCGACCCAGTCTAAGCCTCATCAGCATCTTCAGAAGGATTAGGAGCAATCATATACCAGCAGACAAGACCCTAATTCTCTTCAAATCATCATTGGTATGCTGACTGTCACAAGCAACTGCACCATATACCAAATATTTTGTCTAACCCTCAATTTGGTGTCTGAGATATGAAACAAAATGAACAAGAGGCGAAAAATGCATTGGCTTATGATTTAGTAGAATCTAATTGTAAACTCGAAGCATTTAGTTGGTTTCATCACTCGAAAATATTTTTCAGTTGAACAGTAAATTTACTGGATTACATGTTTCGCACTCATGAATCATAACAACAGTGGAGTATGTCTCGATGACATTCACTTTTACTTAGCCTTACTTTCCAAAAGGTATCCATCCGAGCTGGACTCCAATCAACCAAAGAGCAAAATTAGAAAACATACGTGGCTGCAAATCGGTGCAGATTTGGCTAATGTATACGAGATGAGTAGGGATAGTTTGTTAGTAAAAGTAGCGCTAGTCTTCGTCGTAATGGAAAGTGGCAATTAATCAGTTCGAACCAGTATAGGTGACGCAAAATTCACACTTTTAGTTAAATATGTGTTTATAGATATTAGGTGATTAAAAAAAGATTTCGTTAGAAACAAAGAAAGGAACAAAATCAAATCTACAAAAATGTTTATATTAGAGTCGAGATAATTATTTAACATTTTTAAGTCATC